TCCATTGAAATTAAATTTAAATTTGAACATCTCCTGCATAAGTATATTTCATTTTGATCACAGGGGGTCACGGCCCCCACCAATGAATTTTACCCTTTGATTTAAATTAAATTTAAATTTGAACACATTAAATTTAAACTTGAACAAATTAAATTTAAATTTGAACTCCTTTTCCAAAATATAGGAGAAAGCCAGAAGATAGAGGTCACATCGGCAAGATCAAAATGAGACAATATGGACGTCAAGTTGAGCAAGAAATCATCAATCAGTGGGTAGTGCCTTACAATACATATTTGTTGCGACAATTTAACTGTCATATCAATGTTGAAATTGGCTCATCAATTCATTCAATCAAGTATTGCATCAAATACATATCAAAGGAGTCAGATCAAAGCTATTTTTGCACAACCACCTCACGTTCAATACTATTACGATATCTGGTCTGGTGCTCCTACTGTACCTCTCGAGATTCTTGACAAAATCCAAAGAAGGATCTCTAATGTAATCGATACTGATTTGACATCACAACTTCAGTCACTCTCTCACCGACGTGGCGTGGCCGCCCTCTCTCTTTTCTACAAATATTTTCATGATAACTGCTCTAACGCGCTTTTTTCACTGCTGCCCCGACTACATTGTTGACCATGTTCACCATAGTCTATGAATATAGAATACAGCGCAGTACGTAATCTGTTCAATGAAACAACGTTAAAGATTAATACTCTCGAGTCAGACACTCTACTATATCGCCAATACCACCAGCAGCTGTTCCGTAATTTATCAGTCTTCGATATAAAAGACTGGCAGTGATATTTAGTCACCCCCCACCACGAGGGTTACATGTGGCACAAGGCCGGGATTAACGTGGGATCTCCGAGCCCGTAGGCTCGGCCAAAAATATTCCCTATTCGAACGCGTATAAACGGGTTCAGGGGCAGTCAATATCCCCGAACGAGACTCTGCGCCCCCGGAGGGGCCTCGTCCGGGTTATCAAAGGCTGGCAGTGCATATTCGGGAAAAACATGGCCGTCTTTATACACGCCGCATTGAATATTTTGAGCCTTCTGATTGGTTAACCCTTCTATTAGTGAACTATAAAATGAGTCAGATCATTTTGGCTGGCTCACTAGTACACCAGGGTACCCCAAAAATTTCAACATACATGAATTTAAGCATGCTATCGATTGGTATTTAGCTCCCACCCGTTTACTGTTGAAATATTTAAATGCAACCGCCACTTCTACTCCAACAGTTTCTTTTCTCGTACTACCCACCTGTGGGACACCTTTCCGTTTCCTTCCCTGATAATTACAATCTTCAAAAATTTAAATGCAACACAAATCGCCATCTTCTGTCTTCTTTAACCTCGTTCATCTTTAGTCCTTTCCTCAATCCTTCTTATTCTCAGTTTTCTCTTTCACTGTCGCTCCATGTTAAAACACACCCCACCCCACCCCTGTGCACTAGTGGCATTCTTGCTCTGCTTGGGGAGAAATGATTCTTAAAAACAAATAACTTAAAAAAAAAAAAGGTTGATAAGCCGTCAAAAATCAGTCAATGTCGAATATGAATTCCATCTGAAATAGAAAATTTTAGATTTTAGATTCAGACCACCCTGTATATAATATATATATATATATATATATATATATGTGTGTGTGTCAAAATTTCAGTTAGAGAATACCTGTAAAAGGACAGTATGCACTTACAAGAAATCAACTTGTACACGATGGTCCGAAAGTCTTGTCACCCCTACCAAAAAATAATGAGAACAATAGAAGAGCAAGTAATACAGTAACACAAAGCAAATATACTGGATTCAGTTTATTCATTTTCAATGATGAAACCGCACATCGAGAAGGTCTGCACGGACGCCATCTTTTTCGGGTTAGTCATCTGAAATAGAAAATTACACTATGTGAGGGTGACTTTCGGACCACCCTGCAGGTTAAGAATTTATGGTCAAAACATTCAGCTTTATCGGCAGAAGATGTTAACACCTCAAATTGATTGAAGAGGAATAAAGTGCTTACACTCGTTTAATGCACTATTACAGAGCCGCCAGTAATCACGAGAACCACAGTTTTTAGATGCAATATGGCGACTAAAATTCTCTCAGCAAACGGAGACTTTCGTTTAAATTTATTACGAGAACAACCAATCGGCTTTTGTTGTGACGTGAGATGTCGCGCTGGTATAGTCGAAATTAGTTGTTCCTGTCGCCTATAGCGTCAGAGAATGCTGGTAAGAACCACGGAGAACATCGCGGTTTCATTTGGTATTTCTGAGAAGGAATGAAAGCATCCATACCGGTTTTGGGAACCTCTGTGGCACAATTATTAATTTGAAGGTTAAAGATTTCCCTCCAGTGGAGGCACCGCGAAGAAAGTCATAGAGTGAGTCCTCATCAGCATCCTGATAACGGAAAGAGGTCTTACAAAACAGGCGGCTCCTGTTTAATAGATGATTGGAACAAAATATCAATAGATACTACAGAGTAAGCTGAGTTACCAAAAGGACAGTGCTGTGAAGCACCACAAGAGCGAGAAGAGGTGGTAAATAAATCAAGTTATTCGTATCCACATTGAACGAAAAAAAAATTTTTTTCGTGCAATCTTTTTTTATTCCTATCCTGTCAGAGCTATGATTCCCGCCTAAAATGTGGCTTTATTTTAACAACCAGTGACGTCAGACGCGCCTAGCGCTAATGGACACAGCAAAATTTGATTTAATCATATTCCACACAAGAAAGAAGCTGCCAACGTATCTTCAGTCTTTATTGGCAATAACGTAAAAGAAAGCTCCAATCAGTTTGATTCTATTTCACTTCGTTTGAGTTGCAAATTAACATCGATAACAAGCAATATTTTCATCTAATGCTTCCAGCAAAAGAAATGTCTACGTAATGATTGCTTTATGACATTCACCGATATTATATGATACTAGGCGAATTAACTGAGCCTTGCTGCATGTCATACTTTTTTTTTTATAAGAAAATAAACGATTGATTTTAAATCGTTGTTATAATTTGTGGAGAAAAATGATGCATTTCAATATTACTCAATGAACTTGCTGATTGATATGACCTCCATCTTCTTGCTTTCTCCTTTTATATTTTTGAATAGGAGTCATTCCCTTGTTCAAATTTAAATTTAATTTAAATCAAAGATAAAAAAAAAATTCAGTGGATGTGTGTGCAAAAACAGCTTTGATCTGACTCCTTTGATATGTATTTGATGCAATACTTGATTGAATGAATTGATGAGTAGATTTCTATATTGATATGACAGTTGAATTATGGCAATGTATATGTACTGTAAGGCAATATCCACTGATTGGTGATGTCTTGTTCAACTTGACGTCCATATTGTTTCATTTTGATCTTGCCGATGTGACCTCTATCTTCTGGCTTTCTCCTATATGTTGGAAAAGGAGTTCAAATTTAAATTTAATTTGTTCAAGTTTAAATTTAATGTGTTCAAATTTAAATTCAATTTGTTCAGATTTAAATTTAATTTGTTCAAATTTAAATTTAATGTAAAACAAAGGGAAAAATTCATTTGTGGGCGGTCGAGACCCCCTTTGATTAAAAAGAAGTACCCAAAAAGTCATTCCCTTGTTCAAATTTAAATTTAATTTAAATCAAAGCGAAAAAAATTTTCAGTGAAGATTCCACCCCGGAGGACGCCATTGATGTTACCAATGCGACCTTCATCTTCTGGCCTTACTCTTTTATATTTCGGATGGGAATCATTCCCTTGTTCAAATTTAAATTTAATTTATATCAAAGAGGAAAAAAATCAGTAGAAGGTGTGTGTCCCCCGGAGAGCGCCTTTGATTAAAATGAATCCTGAGTAATGTAGTTTCAGGATATATATGGGTATGGGAGTCGGAGACCTCGAGGTGGTGTAATGGTTAGCAAGCTTGTCTCGCTAGACAAATTACGAATGATTAGTGAGTTCGATCTTCACTGGGTTTCCCTTACTTTCGCCCTTGTGCCACATACAAGCTATGCTTGGAAAATCACTATGTAGGTATGGGAGTCTATCTCCTATATATATATATATATATATATATAGAGAGAGAGAGAGAGAGAGAGAAAGAAAATATCGGATGAGTCCATTATAAGCTGTTCCAGTCAACGGCGGGAAATAAAAATAGAGAATAGTTTGATACTTTTGTTCAATTATTTCTTCGTCTTATTTTGAGTTTTTCTTTTTATCAATTCACCCCAAGCAAGGCGGGGATGCGACTAATACGCAGTGGGGGGGTTACAGGGAGTGAACGTGAGAGAAAAAATAACGAATTATCGGGAGGATTGTGGAAAGGACAAAAGACGGACGAGATTCAAGAAGACAGAAGATGGCGGCTGACGGCGCATTTAAATTTTTGAAGATTGTATTTATCAGTGAAGCAAGTAAATCTAGAACGCTTAAATTTATGTATTTGGGACACCAGGAAAAGAAAAGCTCATCAGATCATTTGTCATGAAAATATTCATAGAAAAGACAGAGGGAAGCGATGTCACATCGGTGAGAAAGTGACTGAAGTCGAGATGCCTGCTCAGGATCGATTACATTACCGATCCTTTTTTTGGATTTTGTCAAGAACAAAATAAATAAAAAAGGCACCAAACAAGATATGGGAGCAGTATTCAATACAAGAGCGAATGGTAGATTTGTAAATGTGCACAGTGGACGCTGACAAGAAATCTTTTTTTCTGGTACGACACGTTGAACCAACTTTCCTTGCACTAGATGCAGCAATTGATTCGATATAATCGCCCCACTTCAATTCAGTTGAAAACGTAAGGCCAAGAAGGCGCGGTGTCTGGCTCTCCAGGAGTCTAGCTGATGTCAGGTATAAAAGCTTCTCTATGGTAGTTAAATGAGAGCAGTTTTGTTTTTGAGGCGTTGAAATTTCCACAATTTTATCACGACTTTCCAGGTCGAATACTCTCCAACCATTAAAATAAATAGAGACGTCGTCTTATTCATTTTTATTTTCATCTTATTGTTTCTTTTTTTCTCATTTATCACTCGGTAAACCCTTGCACGCACCAGGAAGAGACAGCTGAAATTTCTAGGGCACGTAATGAGGAAAGAGGGCTTGGAAAATCTGATACTCACAGGATAGATTGATGGAAAGAGGGACAGAGGAAAACAACGCATGAAATACTTGACGAGTTTGGGAAAAGGTATACAGAATAGATTTTAGGGGAAATAGCAATAAGACAAAATTTATTAAGAGCTTAAATGGATATGAAGTTGTGGAGAGCCATGATTGCCTACGTCATGTAGGGGCACGGCACATAAAGAAGAAAAAGAATTCTTACCCAATATCGTCAAGAAAAAAAAGTTCCTTCAATAAACAAAAAGTATTAAAACATTTGCGTTCTCTGTAAAATATTCTAAACCCGATGGAATAGAAAAGAAATTTAATTTTAAAAGCGCTTATAGTAGTCTTTTTTTTATCTATTTTCTTTTATCTTATTCCATTTTATTATTATTACTATGAGAATCGAACCTATGCACCCCCAAACTGCCGATCTCTTTCAACGCGCAGTAAAATTCTCACCTTTGATCACCACCCGGAGTTCTACGACCACTTCACGACAATTGAATCAGTCTTATTTTTCTGTGTTCCTACGCGTCTTATTCAAAGACTAAGAAACACCTGCACTGAAGACGATCTCCTGTGTTGTTTAAATTGTCACATAATGACACCCAACAAAGCTAAAGTCGCTTGCTCTCCGTCAAGTTTTAATAACTGCTAACACATTTAAGGTCTTTCTGTCGGTAGAAACGAGTCTGGCGCGTGTTCACCAACCATTTCAACTAGAACGAACGCGACTCCATTTATGAAATACGTTATTAATTTCAGCCAGTAAAACCGGCGTTATTAAATTTAATCACCTGCTGCCGACTGACGAAGAAACGAAGTATTATTGGCATTATTAATATAACAGCCCAGTAACATTGGTTTGTTTGGCATTCATTCTTAACCAATGACAATCCCTTTCTTCCTGATTCTCAATGCATTTCCAAGGCTTGCGTCCGCATCACGTTGAAACACCGGTCTCCGTACGATCACCGAAGTTAAGCAACGTCAAGCCTGGCAAATACCTATTCAGTTGAAATCTACTCATTAATTCACTCAATCAAGTATTGCATCAAATACATATCAAAAGAGTCAGATCAAGCTATTTTTGCACACACACACACACACACACCGATTTTTTTCTCTTTGATTTACATTAAATTTGAACAAGGGAATCTAAATATAGAAGGCGAAAGCCAGAAGATGGAGGTCACTTCGACAAGATCATTGAGTAATATTGAAATGCATCATTTTTCTCCACAAATTATAACAATGATGACAGCCTGGGAATACCATGTACTGTAAATTTGGATGTGCGGGTGGTGTAATGGATAATGGCTTGGAATTGTTGATCGAAGAGACAAGTTCGAAATCACATTGAGTTCTTTATATTCACTTATGAGCAAATAACATTGGGAAAGGTGTGAATCCACCTCTTCTTTCCCTAGCTATGGGTTAAATAGTATCGCGAAAATATTATTATCTCAAAAGAAGAAAAAAATTCTTACAATCTAAAAGATATGTTCTGGCTTTAAATAAACTGCAAACGGTCGATAAACCGTAAGGAAAAAATGAGCAAATCAATAAAAATAAATCAATCAATGCATTCCCAGAGTCATAGTTTTCTTAGATTCACTCTCCGTAATTACGTCACAGAGAAACGTAGCCGAAAACAATGCCTTAATAGTCAATTTTACTAAACAGGAACAATCTCATCTAAAAAAAAACCTTTTTCTACTGTTGGGTAACTAGCCATAATTGAAATGGAAAAGCTGACATGGCAGCAAAGGAATGCTTAGAAATAAATATTCCAAATCTGAAAATTTCCTATCCAAACTTCAAAGCAAGAATAAACTCATACATTCTAAACAAGTGGCAAGAGTTATGGAATTACCACCCAAACAACAAACTTTACAGAATTAAACCCATTCTAGGAGAACGGCATCATTGTCTCAGACTTTCTTTCATCTTATCAAGAAACAGAATAGGTCATCCCAATATCATTCATTCATTTATAGAAAAAAAAATTGATAGTCCTGGGTATGATGATAAACTACATCCGGCAGAATACCTCTCATTAGGATTTTGAGAAGCATGGAACCATCTCTTCATTGTTGTTGCTTCCAGGTCCAAACAGACCCAGGGTGGTAGCTCCTGTTAACGTCCCATCTATGGCAAAATAGTGGCCCCAGAGTAAACAAAAACAAAGACTATGAATGTATAAATATACATTTTTATATTAAAATCACTAACAATACAAATTTATAGTACAATAAACAACAATATATTTTATAGCAAAATAACCAACAATACAATTCATCAGTAGTTGAAGCCATAAAATTGTGTTCATTTGGGTTTCGTCATTAAAGGCTGATATGCCGTTAAACAAAATCACGCAACCAACAATACCTATTTATAGTGTATATTTAGTTGAAGCCATAAAATTGTGTTCAAAATATTTAGATTTCGTCATTAAATAACCCATAGAGGTTGATATGCCGTTAAATAAAACAAACAATACCTATTTATAGTATATATTTAGTTGAAGCCATAAAATTGTGTTCAAAATATTTAGATTTCAGCATTAAATAATCCATAGAGGTTGATATGCCGCTAAACAAAATCAACCAACCAACAATACCTAATTATAGTATATATTTAGTTGAAGCCATAAAACTGTGTTCAAAATATTTAGATTTCGGCATTAAATAACCCATAGAGGTTGATATGCTGCTAAACAAAATCAACCAACCAACAATACCTATTTATAGTATATATTTAGTTGAAGCCATAAAACTGTGTTCAAAATATTTAGATTTCGGCATTAAATAACCCATAGAGGTTGATATGTCACTAAACAAAATCAACCAACCAACAATACCTATTTATAGTATATATTTAGTTGAAGCCATAAAATTGTGTTCAAAATATTTAGATTTCGGCATTAAATAACCCATAGAGGTTGATATGCCGCTAAACAAAATCAACCAACCAACAATACCTAATTATAGTATATATTTAGTTGAAGCCATAAAACTGTGTTCAAAATATTTAGATTTCGGCATTAAATAACCCATAGAGGTTGATATGCCGCTAAACAAAATCAACCAACCAACAATACCTATTTATAATATATATTTAGTTGAAGCCATAAAATTGTGTTCGAAATATTTAGATTTCAGCATTAAATAACCCATAGAGGTTGATATGGCGCTAAACAATATCTACTAATCATGACCCAAAATGAACGTCCTCCTGAATGTCCAGTATGTTAGGAGGCATATACTGTAAAAATACCCAAAGAATTGTTTACAAACCTTTATATATTAAAAAAAATGTTTTCTTGCATTAAATTACCGACAATTGGTATGATGTTAAAACAGAACGATTAATCAGTCAATAATTTGCATAATAACATTTAAAAGCATATTTTAATAAAGATATGCTTTGTTATATTATTTATTTTGATTGAAATTTTAAAAATTGCTATATATAAGCAATAATATTTCTGTCAATAATTTTTTTTTTATTTTTAAATTTGGCGTGTTTTGATAGAAAAATTGGTCTACCTTGTCAAAATTCAGTTGTAAGTTACAAAACTTGCAACATTCATAATTTGCATAACAAATGCAAATGGAAAATCTGATATGGCAGCAAAGGAATCTCTAAAAATAAACATTCCAAATTTAAAAAAAAATTCTATCAAGGCTTCAAAGCAACTATAAACACATACATTCTAAACAAGTGGCAAGATTTATGGAATTACCACCCAAACAACAAACTTTACAAAATTAATCCCATTCTAGGAGAATGGCATCATGGTCTCAGACTTTTTTGGAAGGAAGAATTCATCCTATCAAGAATCAGAATATGACATGTCTATATCACTCTCTTATTTCTCCCAAAAACATCCTCTTGAATGCACAGCATGTTAGCAGGCATATACTGTAAAACATATTCTGATTGTACTGACCTTGCCCTGACATGTCAACAATTTTATGATATGACTAGTTGTCATGGGGTCCACCCCTTCTTCATACAAGTGGACTCGACCAGTGTGTACTTTTACTGCTGTCGGTGAATACCTGAGAAAGAGTTACCCTGGTACAGTGATATAGTAAAAGTGTGAGGTAACCGCTTCGTAGGAGTCACAGTTGCGAGCACGTAGACTCAGAAAGAAGTCCTACTTCGATACTGAATTTCCCAGACTGTATATATATATTATTATTGCTACTAACCGCATTTCTGGATCTACTAACCGTATTACCAATTGTATTATTACGTCAATACATTTATTTGCAATATTTTATTCCTGCGTTTGTCATTCATTTGAGACCGGATTTCATCTCGGAATCCAAAACACTAGTCTAGAGGAAATTTTCAAAATAAAAATAATGACTATCCAAGCCTACTTGAAACAGGTTTGTGTATACCACAAACTATAGCACTAGATAACTCTGTTCCAAAGGCATAAAGTGAGAGTTATAGAAACAGCAACACAAAGAATTGGTTACATGCCTTTATATATTAAAAGATATTTTCTTGCATAAATAACAGTTGATATACTGTTAAAACAGATCGATTAATCAGTCAATAATTTGCATAGTAACTTTTAAAAGCATATTTTAATAATAAAAAAAAGATTTGTCTCTAGCAGCCTCAAGAAAAGTTTGTTAATATTTTATAAATTCACATGAGTTGGTGTGTTCTAATCTTACATCAATAGAACAAAACAATCTATTGATAACATGCAATGAATGTCTACTAACTTTTTATATATATTATCTACAAATGGTATTTACAATGTTAGCAGTAATATTTAATTTTCATAACAAATGCAAATGAAAAATCTGACATGGCAGCAAAGGAATGCCTCAGGACAAACATTCCAAATTCGAAAATTCCCTTACCACACAAACAACAAATCATGATCTCAGACATTCTTGGAAGCAAGAAGTCATCCTATCAAGTATCAGAATAGTAAATGCCTATATCACACACTCATTTCTCCCAAAATGCTGATAGTCCTGGGTATGACGATAAACTACATCCGGCATCAAGGCCTCTCATCGGAAGATTGGAGATTTTGAGGAGAGTGGAACCATCTCAACTGCTGTTGCTCACAGGTCCAACCTAAACTGGGGTGATATCTCCTGTTAAAGTCCCAGCTACGGGCAAATAGAGACGTATGAACGTATAAAAAATATATTTTTATAGTAAAATCCTCAACAATATAAATTCATAGTAGAATTGCCAACAATGCATTTTATAACTAAATAACCAACAATACATTATATCTGTAGCTGAAAATATTAAGATTCGGAATTAAATAACCCAGATATGTCAATATGCCGCTAAGCAAAATCTACCAACAATACCTATTTATATTATATATTTAGTTGAAGCCATAAAACTGTGTTCAAAATATTTAATTTCGGCATTAAATAACCCATAGAGGTTGAATCTAAACAAATCAACCAACCAACCTATTTATAGTATATATTTAGTTGAAGCCATAAAATTGTGTTCAAAATATTTAGATTTCGGCATTAAATAACCCAGAGGTTGATATGCCACTAAAACAAAATCAACCAACCAACAATACCTAATTATAGTATATATTTAGTTGAAGCCATAAAATTGTGTTCAAAATATTTAGATTTCGGCATTAAATAAAAGAGGTTGATACGCTAAACAAATCAACCAACCAACAATACCTATTTATAGTATATAGGTTGATATGCAAAAATATTTAGATTTCGGC